GCCCCTGCCCCGCCCCCGCCTCCGGCCGAGCACCACGCCCCGCCCCGGCCCCGGCCAAGCACCGCACAAGCCCTGGCCCCCAGCCAAGTGCCCGCGCCGCCGGCCCCGGCCCCGGCTGAGCACCGCGCCCTCGGCCGAGCACCGCAACCCCAGCCCCGGCCGAGCACCATGCCGGCCCCGGCCCCGGCCAAGTGCCCGCACTGCCGGCCCCGGCTCTGGCCGAGCACCGCACCCCCAACCCCGGCCAAGTGCTCGCGCCCCCGGCCCCGGCCCCGGCTCCAGCCGAGTACCGCGCCGGCCCCCGGCCACACACCCACCGCCCCAGCCCTTGCCGAGCACCGCGCCGGCCCCCGGCCCCGCACCGCCGGGCCCTCCCTCCCTATTTTCCCGGACATGTTTGGCTTTTTGGGATTTTCCCCCTGACAGGGATTTGAGGCCCAAAAAGCCGGACATGTCCGGGAAAATCCAGACATATGGTAACCCTATACCAGGTGTTAATACGGTGCCGCCCAAGAGCTCACAATCTAAGCACCCACAGTGGTTTAAGTTTATTATAAGTAACAAATTAATAATAAATTAATAAATAATAATTTGCAATAAAAAACAACAAATTATTTGCATTGTGCTAATACTTAAAGGCATCAATCAGACTCTATGTATTATTTTTAATAATGAGACACACACTATTATTCTAGTCTATTCGTCCCATATTGGTATATAGATTTTTTGTCCCATCTGTGTGGTAACCAATTCTTCCCCTCCTCCTACCCCCCAAGATTAAAATGTACAAGTAATTGTGTATTAATGGCAACCAGAGAGACCTGAAAATGAACGGATGGAAGAAGTTTTCCATTGGAAAATGAATATCTGGTAACATCAAAACGCAGGCATGTGTCAATGTCTTGTAAACGTTCTGCAGAAAACGTTTCCTTTCAATACGGGCCAAAGGTTTCCTTTCGGCCGCTTCCTTTGGACTTTGATGTTCTCCGTGATAAGGCAACACAATAGAAAGGCTTAAAGGTGTCCATGAGGCCGAAAGGAAGCAACTCGGGATGAATTATTTTGCCCAAACAGGTGAGATTTCCACTTGAGGGAGGAAACGAAATTGCAACATGTCAGAATTCCCCGTGGATCTGAGGCGCAGTCACTGTGGTCTAGTCTAGTGTCCAAACTAGTCTAGTCCGGCTAGTCTAGTCTGTCCAGTCACCAAATTCGGATCTGTTCTGCTCTCTTCCAGTCTAGTGACCATGTATATTGACCATGTACTCTAGTGAACTCCAATAGCCACATTCTGTTCTGCTCTAGTATCCCCGGCCCAGCCTAGTCTAGCCCCAATCTCCGTGATAACTGATCTGGCTGGACTCCATAAACTCTATCAGCTGCTCTATTATAGTTCGGAGTCCTCCAGCACCATCGAGCCCGCCGGCCGGAGCGTCGCACGTCTGGCCCCAGCGGGGCTCTGCCTGCCGCCGCGCTGCCATAGAGCGGAGCGCCCGCTCCCATCAGCCCCCGCGCGGCCCCGCCTCCTTCCTTCCCAGGCCGAGCCGCCGCCGCCGCCATGGTAAGCCGGGGGGGGGCGCGGGGGAATCCGCCGCCATCCGCCGGCGGGGGCGCCGAGCCCGGGCCCGGGGCTGTGGGGGGACGTGGCGGGGCCCCGGGGGGCCGGATCGCCCTGAATGGGCGGGGAGCCTCCATCGCCGGGGCCTCCCCGCGCCCATGCGGGGAGCTGGGTGGGCTCCTGCCCGGGGACAACTGGTGCGGGGCGGGCAAGGGGAGGGGTCTGGGGGGTGGCATGTGAGAGTGGGGGGCACCCAGCCGTGGTGGGGGTGCCCTGTACGGGGAGGGAGATGGGGGGGCACCCAGCAGGGGAGGGTACGGGGGGCACATAGCGGGGATGGGGGATCCGGGTGGGGAG